CGTCATTTTGACAGGTGACGCGCGATGTGACCGCCACCTCGCGCGGCTAGGGAGGCACGGGAGAGTTCCCCGAGCGGTGGTGTATTCTGTTGTCAAATGACATAGTTTAGGGAGTGAAGCAGTCGTAGAAGCGTAACTCGTCTTAGCTTCTCGCGGCCAATGAACGGCACGGCCCGATGCGCCAAGGTCACTGGAGGCAAAACCGGCAGCTCGGAGCTCCGGCAGAGGGCAGCACGCGGCGCGAGCGACGTACACGAGCAGCTTGAGCGCTGCCCGTATGGCAACTAAATAGAAACACTGTATGGCCCGGCATGATGCGCCGATAAGCTTTATTATGGAATAAATAAAAACGAGACGCGTTCCGAATGTGAATGAATGTGCAGCTAACTTTACGTCATTTTATTCATTGTTTTTTTAATGCCTACTTTGATGTAACTGAGTACTTTCTATCGACATAATAAAGGTACACAACGGCGACGAGGAGTTTGGTATTCGCCAACTGCTTACATTGAATCACAATTTGTTTTCAAACAATGTGCGTACGAAAATAGCCCTCTGTATTGCAGATCAACTACTTAATTATCATTCTTATGTAGGTAGCTACTAAGTATTTTATACAACAGGTGGGTAGCTAATGTATGTTTGTATTAGAAATTGAGCCAGAATATTTTATAACTTCGAATTTTTAATCATACTTAATTGTTTTATGATAACAATAAATAAAAGAACAATTTAGATTTAGATTCCGAAAAATATTTACAAATTGTAGGCGTCTATTTTATAAGACTCAGATAAAAAGATAAATATTTTATCATCGGTCTTATCCGTTGTGAACAAGATATCATAATATTTTCAAGGCCTTCCCTCTCATCTTAGTTTAAAAATGTTAACATTTTACTTTCTTCGTAGAAACTAAGCAGTTTTATGAATTTTGCTTATTACAGATTACAAAAAATTTGGTTATTCAATATCAAACTTGCTCGCTACTAGACGCTAGATGGCGGTTGAAGACCGTGCACTTTTTGTCAATGTACCCACATACTTAATAAATGTTGTTGAGGTGTCCAATTGTCAATTAATGACTATATTTTTCATGTTATTTAAAATGGGTTGACTCTTAAAAAAATACCAATAAAATGTTGATAATACCAGACTTGATAAAAATTTAGAGTCATGATCACACACACACACGGTAAGTACTTGGCCAACAGATCAATCTTAGCCTTTCCTTCAAACTATTATATCTTCAACTTTATTGTATAATATACAAAGTTGAAAATGCAATAAATAAACTTAACAAATTGACACTAGAAAATAAAAACTCCGTTACATTCAAACACTCGAGTTTATCTTAATTTTAAGATTTAAAAAAGACAACTTCTTGTTACTAAATACTTGTTATTCCCCGGGTCTGAAAACCTCTAGGAATACTTTACCAATATGATACGTTTTAGGGCCTCTTATTTCATTAGCAAGCTCCAAGTAATTGCTGAGAATTTGTTCTTCATCTATTTTATAGGACTTTTTATAGGTGAATTGAGTCCGGCGTTTGGATCTCTTACGCCTGATGATAAACGATAATGCGGTCTACGGATAGGGACAGATGAACTAGCTGATCTCCTAATGGACCTTGGTCAGCGCTACCCATGCACCGCACCACCTGAGTAGTTACAAGAACGTTGCTTGCTTTGTAAGAAGGAGTACGCTTTTTTTATAAAGCTTATGAGATTATACGAAGACAATTCAATGGTAAAATGAAGTAGATAACGTCTGTAGCGTATAACACGAATACTTTATAGTGCATTGTAGGTACATATAAAGAATTCGACATAATTGTTCGTAGATGAGTTAAAATAGGCGTAGGAGTGTATTCGAAATGGTTTCTAATAATAGCTAAAACGGTATTCTGGCTGTTTAAAACTAGTTCTTAAGAAATAGATTCTTTATTGATTTAGTGTTAATGTCGTGTAGCATCACGCTTCCTTTTGCGAACAGCTAAGGAATGGAACTTCTTGCCGGAATCTCTGTTTCCCGAGAAATATAGCTTGGGTGTCTTCAAGTCCCTAGTAAACAGGTTGCTCATAAGTCATAGGTAGGCGTGCTCCATCGTCGGCCACATCATCGCTTACCACTAGGCAAGATGATGGCCGAACATCGACCTACGAAGAGTAAAAAAAAAAAATTGATGCTATAATAATATAAATCGTGTTGACAAAAACGCAATTACCATAGTGGAATGTTAATCAAATAACATCTTAGATTAACAATGGAAGCACAACAAAGTCTAATCCCAAATCAAAGTTACAAAACCTATTATATTGAGTAATTGGGCCTCTGGTAACCTCACTTACACGACGAAATACAATGCAAGCGTTGTTTCACGTCGGTTTTCTGTGAGGCCGTGGTATCACTCCGGTCGAGCCGGCCCATTCGTGCCGAAGCAGGGCTCACCCTTAACACAATTAGATAAACATAAACGAAACATGGATGCTGGTCACTTCCACGATCACTTCCAATCGGCCCATATGAGAAAGGTCTATGTTCAGCAGTGAATGCCTTATGGCTGATAATAATTATGGTGATGCTGATGATAAACATAACATAACTTCACGCCTTTTATCCCCGAAGGGGTTGGCACAGGTGTACATTACGGCACTTAATTCCACTGTACAATGTAACACCCACTTGTCACTATTTATGCCATGAGTCCCATGTAATAGGGGGTGAGCCTGTTGCCAAACACCGGGCACAACTCCAGACTCCGTGCTACTACTGAGAATTTTTTAAAACCCTGTAGTACTTTGCCCGACCCGGAAATTGAACCCGAGACCCCTTGCCCGGTAGTCACACTTGCGACCACTCAGCCAACGAGGCAGTGGCATAACATAACATACAACCATAAGAAAGAAGGTGTCAATTATCGATCTCAATGTTTATTAAAGCAACTCTCAGAACATAAGTTTGCAGTTCTGAATGCGAGTTATCTTCAAATATTTTCGCTGATATAGTCTGTTCAACGCGTGCAACTTATTTACCTATGACAAATACGCAGTAGCTATCTAGACAGTAGTTATGAGATTTCCGTCCACGCCTCACACTTCTTGGTATATGATACGTGCAATGATTTCAACCTGAACACGTGCCTACATTGAATTTTTAACAACCAAGATCCCACGCAGATATGTCCACGTGGATTTACAATCTTGTGACTAGTCTTCAGTAAATATCTAGATTGTTTATTCAGGTAGCCAATTTATAATTGGGGGCAGAATTTAATGTCAATTATTTTTGATTACTTAGGTACATGATGTAGATCGGCCCTGGGGTTACGGCCTCTTTGATTACGACAGAGTAGAATACAATATTGTTACTATCCCCACTCTTCTCACGGATATCCTTGGCGTTAACTATGGGACCACATATTTGACAGAGAATGCGCAACAGCGCTTTCTGATAAACTTGAACCTTCGAACTACATTTGTAACCCACCTACCAGGCGTAAAAATAAGGTATTATCTTTTGTAGAACATTCTACTAGTCCTCAGTATATTGTTGTAGTCATGTTGTCATGTGCTATTAACATAATGTAGATACCTAGATAATTAAAATAAAAATAAATTAAACTTACTTCGTTGATTCATAAATAACACACAGTCATAATTTGCACCCAAATCTTGTTAACTCGTGCGTAGTCGTACTATTATTGTACGACTACGCACCCCTTTAAAAAATTACCTCGTCAATTAACAAAGAAAGATTGTTGCATCAAATGTGTGAAATAAGCAATAGTGGGTTCAAAGAAATCTAGATGAGTTAAAAACGTAAATGAATATCCTCGAATTTTAAATTTTTTTGTGAAATATGACATTTTACGGTGGGAGAGCTGTACTTCGGCACGAATTGACTGGCTCGACCGGCATGAGACCACGGCCTCACAGAAAACCGTGTGAGTAAGGTTACCGGAGGCCCAATTATCCCTCTCCCTCCCCAATCTCCCCAATCCCTGAAACATCCACATTCCTCAAATTCCTAATCCCTAAAAGACTTGAACGCACTTGTAACACCTATGGTGTTTCGGGTGTTCATGGGCGACGCCGATTGCTTACCAGGTGATCCGTCTACTCGTTTAGGTACCGGCTTATCCCATAAAAGAAAACATCAAGACTCAAGACTAGAACTTAAACGCCTCACAAGGTGACAGAATCTAGGATTTTGTCATCAATAAAAGTAGAAACATTGTAGTAGACATTGCCTTCTATCGTCATAGTTGTTCACTGTTAATCAGCGTATTTTAGTTCATGGTAACGAAACCGCTTGCGTGAAGCACGAGATTGGCATTCTACAGCCTGATCATTATAATAATCATTACGTTGGTCATTTTGCGTATTACACACTGCAATTTGTTGAACTAAGTCTAGATTTGGATATGAGAACATAATTAGGAGACGAAAAAAAAAACATTTTACAAGTAAATAAAAGTATACATGAAGATACGGTTTTATTTTGCAAGTTGAGTTCACTCCAAATAAAGCCTATTTCCATAAAATTACAGTTATCCATGTATTTTTCCATAAACGAATCTTGCGGCTATGGATTTTCCCGTCATTGCATGAACATACCATTTCTTCGAAATTGATTACTCCTCCCAGGAAGCGCAAAAGAACGTATAAAACTCCTGATGAATTCAAAATTTGCCTTGCAACAGGTATTCAGAAGTCTGGTTTATCCTGTTAGTCGGAACCTGTATGAAGATTACCATATCAAAGAGCAACTTCATTTGCGTTTAATAGTAGATTTGGATGCAACGATTTGGAATGAATGGATGGAATATTTTGCTTCTCTTATCGTAAGGATCACGATCAAAAAGGTAAGTCAACCTGTTGAATGATTAAATTTCTGTTTCTGTATACATTCTGTTCATAAACTGATCAATGAGATGTTAATAAATCAATTAGATGACTATCTATACAAGGAATAACAATAAAATAAAAAACATTGCACACTTTTTAAATTTTATTTAAAAATAAATTATCGTAGTACAACTTGCACCAATAACAACAAAATTTTGGTTTGAACAACATGAAACCGTAACGTTCGCTCAAAGCATATCAACTTATTAATATTGCGCTCTAGAAATACTAAATTATATACTACACGGTGCGACAGTTTGACCTAGGATTAAGTATTACATTTTACTATTTCGTCATGTAAAACTCACTAACATTCAACACATAAACGGAGATTCACCCCTCAGACAATGTTGGAGATACATTGACATAAAACTTCTAAGTATGGCGTCTCAAGGGATTGAGACTTGGTTCAATGTAGCCCCAACACGAAAGCAAACTTCAACACACAATAGTTAGACAAAAAAAAATAAAAAAGAACTTAGCTAGTAACAAAAAGAGTATCCTGTACGGGTTAAATATCTGTCGAAGGCACGGTATCCGGTATCATACTTGTATGTTCTTACAATACTAGCTGATTGTACTGAAAATTACGCGACTTCACTATTATACAACCATAACGATGGTGATCAACTTTCTAAATCTCATAAGTATTATAAATCCAAAAAGCTATATCCTCTGCCTTGAAATAAGACTTCAGATTATTATAATAGATGGCTATATTATCAAAAGTCATGCTTGGACTGTGTCACTTACATAGTGACGGCAAATATTTATTTCTTTTGTAATATAAAATAGTTTCATGTGCTAAATTGTCCATTTCATCTAGTTTTGATCCATATTTCCTAACAATTTTGTGACTAAATATGATTGTGAAGGAAATCATATTGCTTACAATTTTACCTAATTCTATTTATTGTAGACATTTCCTATAAAATTGAAATATCATGAGTGATTATTATAAATAATCCTAAAATAGCTATAGGCAATTCCGTTTGTTTAGTCAGCGAACATGTATATGCTGGCTTTGTATACCTCTACTATTATTGCAATACACATGTGGAATTAAGAATACTGGATAAATTACAATTCAATGCTAACTGGTCAGATGATGGCTAGTTTTTTAGGAAGGTATTTACCAATCGATTTTGAAAACCGTGTACCAAGTAATCGACTAAGCGCGTTCGGCGTAGCGTAGATTACTCATAAAATCACTTATTAGAGGGTTATTATGAAAATATACAAGATTGGAGCTCAAATATATCATCGTAATTGACCGCAGAGGAAACTAGAATTTCCGTAAATTTTATTGCCATTACATTAACGCGTGCGTCAGACGAGATGAGGCATCGTGGCATGGTGCGATACGAGACTTTTGCCATCTTCAAAAGTATTGAAACCATACCAGGCAAGCCTACACCTCGTCTTAATTTCACCCTTAAATCTATTTATTTTTGCCCCTCAAAAACTTCTCTCTACTTACTATTCAATTTGATTATATACAAAAGTAGCTACGTTTAATAATTTTTCAAAGAGTATTGTTCGTTACAAATTAATATGCGCGTAATCAAATGTTTTGACGCCAATTTCTTTCTACACCACTTTATAATTGAAACTATCATTACATTTACTTCAACGGGTTTATAGAAAAGAGTCACCAATAGTTTTGCTACTATTGTTATCTCTTTTTTGTTCGTATGGTCTGTGTGTATAAATAAATTAGCGTCATTATCTATACTTGTATATTAAAATTTAGCACAGTGTATAATTTTTGCGTCGGCAAAAGTGAAATTATTAAAATAATAGCGAACACAGTTTTCTGTGACGTTGCTATATAAAAGTTTAGTTGGCGTTATACATCACAGTAAAGAGTGACTTCATTGCTTCAATAAGTAGAAATAATGTGACTAACAACAATATTATTAGTCATTATACGACTTTTTATTGATGTCTTATTGTCGTCATAATTAGATCTAGATTTATTACGATTGTTTGAATGGAATTATTGCATTGTGCGAATAAAGACAAAGACTTCTTTGAAGAAGTAACAGATAGACCTATGGTTAATGGATCCGGTAAATAGAAATAAATTCAAATCGATCTTGCTAAATTATTTAAAAAATAAGCAAGATACTATATTACTTTAGACAAAAAGAGAGTTGCCCCGTTTAAAAAAAATCGTAAATGATACGATGTGTGTGAAACCGCCGAGTTTGAACTAAACGGTTACTCTTTAAGTTATAACAGTCAATAAAAATGAAATACTGAATACTAAACCTTGAGGGAAACCAAGAAAAACAAACTAGTTATAAAACATGTCGGAGAAATTACAGTAAAGATTGATGTAGATTAAATGTATGGTAGACTTTACTATTCGATTTAAAATCGATTCACGTCATTGAAGAATCGAGTCCAAATCGCTTGTGGCGTCACCGATTGCGCTAATTGGCACGGCCATTGTATTGTTTGGACCTATACCAACTTCCTTCACCTCATAATTCATTGTGTTGTGTTTTTTGTTATTGAACTTGGCCTCCATCCAATTGGGATGTAAAAACAAACTTTACATTAGAAAACGAATTAACAAGCTCACCAGTTCTTTAGTGGTCATAAAAGAAGGATTTCGGCGGTTTCAAACAGAACGCTACGATATTTAAACGCTTTTTATTACTCGTTACTTCTGTCTAAACTTTTTAATTAGTGTTTGTTACACCGTAAATTGTTCTGCGTATAATTTTCATTCATTTTTGTTATCAGTTACTATAGAATTTTTAAGTCAATGTTCTACTCAGGTGTAGTTGATGTCAAACACCATTTGACCGACAAACCAATGCGTAACAATCAAGCTGTTTTACTTAATACTTCTTTACATAACTTACTAAAGCAACAAAGTCCCTCAAGCCTCAATCACGTCAAAGTACAGTCACGCACTAAAGTTTCGTCCATAATTTGAACGCATTCACCTACATAAAGCGTGTGACGCTGTTATTCCAGCTGTTTGTACATGTCCTCTATTTGGGGTTTGAAGTAGCTCCTGATTTCTGGCCGTTTTGCTTTCATTGTGGGCGTCAGGAGACCGTTTTGTACTGAGAAGGGGTCCGGGTGTAGGTAGATGTCTTTGACCTGTGGAAGAAAGAAATAAACTATGAGTGCAAAAATAAAAGAACGTAAAAAAGTGGGGGAGCTTAATGAAGTTCCAAATGATGGAACTCTTCTTATACTTTAAGCAGTGGATTATAAAACCATAACATAACATAACATCACGCCTTTTATCCCGGAAGGGGTAGGCAGAGGTGCACATTACGCCAATTAATGCCGCTGCACAATCTAACACCCACATTTCACTATTTACGTTATGATCCCATGTAATAGGGGGTGAGGCTATTGCTACTACTAGATTTTTTTTAAAAACTCACTAATATTTTGCCCGACACGGGAATTGAACCCGAGACCCCTTGCCCGGCAGTCACACTAGCGACCACTCAGCCAACAAGGATTATAAAAATACAGACAAAACGTCTAAATATTATTCAAAGTCTAGAGTCTAAGATTAACCCGTGGTATGCAGAACGTAGACCTATGTGAGACACAATGTATTTTCTATCGCCTCTCATACACCGGCACTCAAGATGTTAGTGCATAAAATATCCTCGTGAGACAAGATCTGCCTTCTTCAATTTTAGAAACCTTGGCATACGATCGATTCGCAATTCATTAAAGATATATGAAATAAAAATTAGTTTTCTAAGTACGCATTTATAGCTTCGCCACATCCTAATCTAACCACGTAAACTATAATATCACTAGTAGGCAAGCATTAAATTTAATACCAAGAAATCCTTGGAACAATTCTCAAAATAAACAAAATCGAGGCGTTTTAATCAATTTTTATTTTAAGAACGTAATTGGCTGGATAAGGATTGCAATTGATTACTTCCTAGTTTTAAAAATAAAATGAATTTTATTAAGGAAATATTTAAGAATGATATTGAATTGAATACAATCATCGATTTCGGTTTATCGTGTTACCGAAATAGAATTAAGATAGCGTTGATAATACAATCAATGATAATAGTGGTCGAACAAGACTAGTTTTTGTGTTGTCGATAAAATGATATTTCATTGTCAATGTTGTGCTACGTCGTAATGTAGGTTGCTTCATGATATGAAATATGTTTGAAACATGATGTAAATATTTCTATCACAGAGCACCATGATGTACCTATTGTAGTTACATAAACGTCCTTTTCATTTAAGGATTGCATGCAAGTTAAATCCATTCAAGTCGTCATCAGCTCAATACACGTATGGAACAGTTCAGCAAAGGAAACTGCAACTGTTTACTTGTATTTTTTTTAAGGGGCGAAAATCATCTAATTGTATGCTCCCGCCTGGGTGAGGCGGGAGGGAGTGTCAGACCCTAATTGACTAAAAACCACCCCGTTCTTGCTCCTGCACGTCGAACCTGAGCCCCGGTTACCTGTTAGGTTCTCGAAAAGGTTGATTTTTAAAGGTTTACGATGTCTCTTATATAACACCTTACATTGATCATAGTTTGGCTTCATTGACTAAATCATTAGAATAAAGTATTTGATGTAAAACCGTTACCAATTAAAACTTATGCCCAATTTTATCTATTTCTGTTAAATATAAAGTAACAAACATCTATTCACAATCACAGACTATCATGCTCTAATCTTATTAGAGCAAAGTTAGAAGTAGGATATCATCAATACTTAAATTAATTGGAGTAAAATCCTTTTATCCCCAAGCGGTCACCGGTGACCGCTCTCCACTAACTACATTATTATAGACTTTATTTCCGATGATTAGAAACTACTTTAGGGGGAACAAGTTTAGGGGATGATATTTCAGCAGTGAAGTTCAAGACTTGCTAGGATATTCTGTAATCTAATACTATTCTGCTATTCTGTTCTGAATCTCGATCGCGGTCCGCAATGTCATTGATTGCGAGCTTAGATTAAACAAAAAGTAGGAGAAACCCTTTTGCTTTAATCTAAGGTTGTGAGAATGATCTCGTCAAAGTTCACTTCGAAAGTTCGAATTGATAGTCACAGGATAGTCTAGCAGATTCACACTTTTATCAATTTGACACAATACTGCCCGAATACTGAAAGGCTACACAATTTTAAGTCGTACTTAAATATCGTAGCGTCCCTGTCATTGTATAAAGAACTAGCTTCTGCCCGCGACTTCGTACACGCAATCCCGTTTTCTCCCGTTCTCGTAGGATTTTCAGGACATTTTTTCTGTCATAAGAACCTCCTGACAATAATAAACACAAAATAAAAAATTAGCCAAATCGGTCTAGCCGTTCTCAAGTTATGGCGTGACAGCGGAAAACGGGTTTCATTTTTTTTATATAATTATATAGATTTATAGTGACAGAACTACAACTAAGCGCGACTTTAAATTGAGTCGAGTTCGATTATTTGGACAATATGTCCAAAATTTACAAAGATAGTACTGTCATAACTGGTATAAACGCTCACCTGTTCAAAGGTCTTAAGTCCAGCATTACGTCCCCACTGCAGCATGTCTTCGAGGATGATCTTCTTGACGCGCTCGTCCTCGCAGAGAGCTGAGAATGTTCCCTTGATGCCGTTCTCCAGCGCCCAGCACTTCACCACGTCCACGTCTGGGACGACCACTGCTACTACACATGACTGGAAGGAAAGAAAACAAATATTAGACTGTATAATACATAAGCGAGGACTTTGAGTTACCCTTAATTGAGTTACACTTAATTGTGGATTTTCAACTCAATTAAAAGTTACTAAAGTTATTTTTTCTTTGATTCACACATTGGAGTAGTTAGTACTAAAGTACCCTTAACCGATGAACATGCATGAAGATACTGACGACTGTTGAGGAAGTGAAAGAGGTATGTAAAAATACTGGAAATTAGCGTTCCACAATCTCTGTTAACCCCCATGGGAGACAAGCGTGAGGTCATGTATGTATTAGTTTATTATATTGTGCAGTAAACTTTTAATACGATTATGTTAAGTCGCCCAAATTTGGTAAAGTTCTGTAGGACATTCACAATTTATTTATCAAATAATAAAGTCGATAATAAATTATACTTTTGAGTGTTTTGATGTTCTGGTTTCATTACAAGTCCCAAGCCATATATTTCTTTTTACGGGTAATCCTATTGCCATATGCAGAGCAAGTACGAAAGTTCGTATTACTACTTCTCAGTATTTAACCTGTTTTATCAGAGCCTCGAATCCGACACCTAGTACAAAGCAACCACTTTTAATTTGCAATTTCCATTCACCATTTAACCAACCTAATAATAAATTACTATTTTAATATCATACAACGTTTTATTTTTAGAAAATACTTGTTGAAATATAACTCGAAATTCTTGGCACTGTCACTACAAGTACATACAACTCCATGTCAAAAACTGACTGACAGACAGTGCCTAAAAATATTGATCGATTAGTTAGCTGAGTGTGAAGATAATTTACAGTTTAAAAACAGGAAATCGGTTTCCTGTTATTAAGAGGAAAAATTCATTAATTAAGGATCCTCATAGATAAGGAAATGATGCGGTAAAAAAATTGTCCGAACAAAAACATCCAAGCAGACTGTCGAAACGTTTATTTATTTATTTATTTATTTGGACATCCAGTTGTTGCTACATTTTTATCATTAACTTAAAATTAGGAATTAACATCTTACTGCTAATGCACAACATTTGAAGGACATCACAGCATGCGTTGAGTCGAGAACACAATATCAATTAAATTAAAATTTATCTAATTTCTCTACATTACCAAATTTACAATAAATAAGAATTATATAATTAGTAACAACTTTCGTTATCACTCATTATACAATAGTCAACCCTGAATACAAAAATATAAATACAAAACAAAAGAATAATCAAAGATCAAAACAAAGGACACAGTCATTAAAAGCTCAATAACAAAAAAATAACATTAAAATAAATAGATAAAATCGGTTGCGGAACAAATCAAGTCAACAGCAACATAATAAAACAAGTCAACAGCACACCACAACACTAAGCTTCATCTCTCAACAATCCCAGAACAGCTTTTTTGAATTTTGGCAATCTATCACTAAACAAATCAACCCTCTCACAGACAGAGTTATAGGCTCTAGAAAGACGAGAAATGGTGGAGAACCTCTTTAGGTTGGTTCTGGCAGATGGCTGGTGTAGTAAACCCGCATTAATTAGTGCGCGCCTAGGCACACGTCGAGGTACACGCAAATTGAACAAGCCTAATAGTGGCGGACAGTCAAACTCGTTTCTTAGTACCTTGTACATGAACGTTATGTCAAGCAGTTTTCTACGAACAGTCAAGCGGTCCATCCTGAAATGTCTCAGTCTTTCGCTATACGATACCAAGCTTTTGTGCAGCCCACTGGCAAATGTTAGGTGTCTTAGGAAACGTTTCTGTATGCGTTCAACTCTAACTTGATGCACATTATACTGAGGCGACCAAACCACCGAGCAATATTCCAGTTGACTTCGCACATAGCTGTTATATAAAGTAATTTTAGTGGTTGGGCTGCGAAATAGTTTGCTGTTACGTATAATAAATCCCAGCATCTTTGACGATTTATTAATAATACTGTCAATGTGTGGCAAGAACGTCAACTTCGAATCGAAGATCACGCCCAAGTCCCTCATCTCAGCTTTCCGCTGCAATGTAGTTCCATCGACGAGGTATTGACTCTGTATCATGTTGTGGCTACGCGTGAAAGTAACTGTGTAGCACTTGTTTATATTCAAAGACATTCTGTTTACACTGCACCAGGTGGTTATGGCATCGAGATCTGCTTGAAGTAAGTTCCTATCTGTGTGCTCAATCAAAGTTTTGCATATCTTTAAGTCATCTGCAAAAAGATAAGCACTACTGTGTCTAATACAAGAAACAATATCATTAATGAATAAGTTAAATAGCCAGGGACCAAGATGAGAACCCTGTGGAACACCTGAGGTAACAGCGTGGGTTCGAGATTTAAATCCCTTTACCACAACATATTGCGTCCTGCCTGATAAATACGATTGGAACCACTTTAGCAGAGAGCCATGAATACCGTAATATTCTAGTTTTGACAATAACACCCGGTGACATACCCTGTCGAATGCCTTTGCAAAATCCATATAAACAGCATCTACCTGCACCCCCGAGTCAACCGCATTAACTATTTCGTTATGGTAAGTAACCAAATTGGTAGTTGTGGACCGCGACTGGATGAATCCGTGCTGCTCGTCAACAAATAAGTTTCTAGTATAATGCTTTAGGTAAGGATAAACTAAGGCCTCAAACGATTTCGCAAATACAGACAGAATCGATATGGGTCGGTAATTTGTAATATTTTCCTTATTCCCATTTTTGTGAATAGGGACCACCTTGGCAGACTTCCAAATTTCAGGAAATGTACCCGTCAACAAGGATTTATTCACAATGAGGTAAAAGGGCAAACTTAAAGATGAGGCACATCTTGATATAAAGTATGGAGGAATGCCATCCGGACCCGCTCCCTTGCGTATGTTAAGACCCTTAAAGTGCCTGACGACCGCACCATACGCAAGTTGTATTTCACCCACAGTATTAGTGCTTGAGATATTCTGAACGGGTGAAGCAGTATGGCAGGTGGATTCTACAAATGTGGAAGAAAAGTAGTTTGCAAATAGATTGCAAATTCCACAACCGTCGGACTCCACCGTATCGTTCAAAACCATAGTTTGCGGTATTTGAACTATATTACTGCACTTATCCTTTAAGTAGGAATAAAAGTATTTCGGATTAATTCTGATGTTATCTTCGACATTACCGACATAGTTACTGTAGCAAGTTGCAGTAAGCTTTTTACACCTTTTACTTAGAATCTGTAATGATATTTCATCCAATGGATTTTTAAAAACTCTGAATTTATGCAATAATTTGTTCTTCTCCTTGATTAAGTTGACAAGTTTTTTGCTGAACCAGGGTGGATGCTTCCGCTGAACAGGTTTGGATTTAGGCACATATTTGTCTATTATATCATTTAAAGTTGTATAAAATAATAATACCATATTGTCAACATCATTACATAAGTTAAATTTATTCTCCCAGTTCACTTCCCCCAGCTCCCTCATTATTTGCTTGTAATCTGCCCTATAAAAGTTATGCTTTAAGATGCTGTTGGTTTTTAAAGGTATGCTTTTCACAAGTTCCACCACTATTTCCAAAGGAATGTGATGTGAATCAACCCTGACCAACGCAGACCCAGAAGCCCGAACGGTTACGCCCATCACATTGCTCAAAACCAAGTCCAAGGTTCTATTCGAAAAATTTGTAACATTACTATGCTGCGTGAGATTGTTAAGCGATACAAAATCAAGAAAGGATCGAGCCATCGACGAATTCTGACAAACTGTAGGTTTATTGAATGTCACGTTTGAGGCATCTGGCCACGAGATACAGCCCATATTAAAATCACCCACAAGGCATACATTCTCCATGCCGACTGATACGGCAACGTGGCTGAAGTTGTCCATGAAATGTTCCAGGATATTTTTATTCAATGGAGGTGGAAGATATACAGCGCACAAGTAAATACTTTCCGTTTTAGTAATTTCTACCTTAACGAAAAGATCTTCGCAGAGACTTTCGCCCTGCATATATCTTTTAGAATAAAATTTGTTAGAAATTGCTATCAGTGCACCCCCACCTTCCTTATCCGCATGAAAGCCCGTACTTTCGCGGTCTCTTCTATAAACAGTGTAACGATTGTCAAATAGTTCTGTATCGAAAATTTTGCTGTTCAGCCACGTCTCCGTTAAAACAATGACATCATAATTAGAACACAAGATACTACAAAGAAAATCATGGGTTTTGGTACGCAGACCTCTGACATTTTGATAATATATATTTAGCTTTATACTAAAGAATTCTGTAAAATGTGTATTTAGATAATGCGCCAGTACAATCAGCGATACGTAAGGATTCAAAGTGATTATTTCAGTTTGTTCAATGTCTCGTGGTTCCGTATGTAAATGGACTCATCTTCCTCAGTTTTCCTCATGAACACACGACCCTGTTTAATCCAGACGAATTTATAACCTTTTTCTTTGGCAATCTGTCGCGCGGCTGCGTGAAGCTTCTTATTGGCAGGTGATAAATGCTCAACTACGTAAATTGGTAATTTCTTCCCCCCCATGCCAATGTGTGCAGTATTGAGCTTATCCTTAGGATGTACCTTATTGAAACTGATCGTCTTAGCCAGAAATGTATCTCGGAGTCTGGGGGTAGCCAACCTAACAATGATTGAGCGGGGCCTCTTATCATCCCCATTGATTTTTGCTACACGGGTACAATGGTGTATATCGGATTCTTTTAAGTCACAGGATACCACCCTGGATAACTGAGTTATCATAGTTGGAAGATTTTCCTGTTTGTGCTCGGGGACACACTGGATCTCAAGGTTGTTAGAACGGTTATGCTGCTCAGTGATCTGTAGCCTCATCTGTAGGTCTCGCACTGTATTAGTTAGCAGGACCTTCTCCCTCTTTAGCTCTCCCAATGATTCTTCGTATCCAGCGATGACAGACTTGGTAGCTTCGTAGCTTTCATTTAAAAACGTTAAACTATTCTCCAGAGCAGCTATCTCCTGTCTCGTTGATTGAAACTCTGCGTTCACCATTTGTTTGAGAGTTTGATTAAGTTCTTGTGTCAAAGCTATTTTCATGACCCTAAATTCTTCTCTAATCATTTCCCTCACATCTTCCTTCCTGAAGGGCAATTTTGAGCTGGAGGATGTCGAAAGGGAAGTTTGATCCTTGTCCCCACTGTTTGCTCGTCTCCTTTTATTCCTCGAAGAAATCCTCGGCTCTGTCAGGCCAACCTCCGTATCTAATTCACTGCCCTGGTTTAGGTTTGATTCGAATGCATTTTTATTTATATAAACCGGTGTATCCGACGCCGGCTCCAGCTGTGGTGACTGTGTTTGCTTTGCTAAAGGCATAGTGGCAATCTAAGCAACCAGATTCAGCGCAAAAGGTTGATTGTTATCGCAGCGTTGCGATCGTTTTAATAACTTCAATAAAATGCCAATAAAATACTATTTAAATATTAAGTTCTCCGCCAGGGACTTTAGTTTGAGCAATACAGACTCTTGTCTTCATAGAAATGTAATTCAAATATGATCAATTCACAAAAAGAATCACACGTTGTGGGGATCGAACTCATGACACTTTACTCGCAAGTCTCGCATCCCAATGCTAATGCCATTCGGTCATTACTATACTGGGCGAAATAGTGTTACTTGTTATAAGCAAATCAAGCCGGTGCCAGTGGACCGTTCTAAACAATTTCGATTTACCCTCACAAAGAGTTAGCACAAAAATGTTTGCGATTTTACGTGATAGTAGTACGAATACAAGATCTAGCACCACTTTAGTGAATTATACACCCTATATTCAATCGTTCCTGACTCGGCATCATCGCCAGAATCAACAATCACTACACAAAACTGCGCCGTAGTGTGTATAATACCGTTCACAAACACCATTGACGGCCGCTGAGGAATGTTGAAATTCGTCCACTTATTCACAACGACTTATGGAGATAACACTTGCACCAGCAGTCCGCGATATACTTTCAGTGAATCGACGCAACTGACAAACATTAATGCAGCAAACGATTTTTAAACATATCATGCCATCTCTGTTATTTTACAATTTGTAGAAACAGAACTATACGTAAAGACGACATAACATTGAGTGACGTTGAATATTTGGACATATAACCAAGAAGAATAATGAAGCATGCTTAGATTCTCTGAGCATATTGAGAGAGTTAACGACAGAACAAAGTCTACATCAGAAATGGTACATAGTGGGCTGACTAAAACATACGTAGATTTCATAAAATAGAATTGATTTCTTCAAAAAAGATCAGGTGCTGTTAGTCGGTGTGCTAGTATGACTAGATGCATTAGTGTGTGGTGGACGCTAAAGAAAAATGAAACGAACATATAACTACACGGCACTTTGTAGTTTCTGCCTTATATGGGTATATAGAATAATTAATAAAGCAAGTAAGGTATGCAAGTTATGATTGTGTGTATTCATTATAAATATTAATGTATTAATGTATGTATTCTTAATTTCCTTACCTTCAGAGACTCGCCATGTACGAAAACTTGTTCGACGTACTGACTTCTAATGTAAATGTTCTCAATTTTCTCAGGAACTATGTATTCGCCTTGCGACAGTTTGAAGATATGTTTTCTTCTGTCAATAATTTTCAGGGTTCCATTCTGAAATGTGAGAAATGAAATGTAGGTTATTTTATATGTTTAATTATTTTTTATCGCCTGAAGGAAAAGTAGTAGCAAGCAACTGACACTTATACAATTGCTGCTTTAAAACCAATACCGATGGCGATGTGAAACTACTAAGCAATAAATTGGACCTTATAACGTAAGTTATAAGATGTTAAAATTAAAATTCATTTTTAAAGCCTTTACCTACTGGAAACGAAAAACTAAAAACAGAACCATCTTTATCCATTTCAGTTCTATTCAGTTTCCAATAATGACCATTGACTAAAAATTGCATTTAAGTTAAAAATAAATTAAAACCAATTTAAAAAGTTGCACTTACGGGCTGCCACTTGCCAACATCTCCCGTGTGATGCCACCCGTCGTGGTCAATGACCTCTCTAGTCTTCTCCGGCTCCTTGAAGTATCCCTTGAACACGTTCGCGCCTTGCACGCATACTTCTCCCTGGCCTTGTGATGCGTAGTACTCCATCTCGGGCACGTCCACTAACTGAAGATAAATAAAGTATAAAATAAAATTTAGGTGAAGTAAACAAATATAAAGATGTAAGAGTCTTTAATTAATTTACCAATAAATATAAATTAGGTACACGGACATACTTAATAACATGTTACTTGTAACCACAGAACATATAAAGGAGGATAGAACGGCCTTGTGGGCGGTACACGCGTGCCGCGGTTATGAGCAAATGCTCCAAATCTACCAAAATGTCAAAAACCGGCCATCAAACGCAATGTTGTTGTGACAGCGTACGAAACTCCGCAAATAATATTAAATTATGCCGTCTTGGACTATTGTAATGTGTCGGAAAAGAAGACAGGTGTGCAATGTAGCACGAGAAGGGATTTCTTTCCACCAGTGACTTCAAAAACATTAATATACTTGTGATATTTGTAATTATAACATTAATATTATGACGTTTCTAGACAAAAACGACATTATCGCAAGCAGTATACATTGCTTGCAATAGATACGTACCGTTTTGCACTACATAAACGATCGCGCAATGTATTACGTTCACAACGAGAGTCCCGAGTATCAAATCAAAACGTCATTTCCTCGAATCGATATAGAGAAGTGTCAATTTGTAAACAATGTCGATAATTACTATGATACAAAGGATTATTATCAAATTATACACATTATAACTAAAATAATTTTATTTATTACGACTAATTATGAAATAGGTTTTAAGTGAGGCATTTTATTCGTATTTCAGTTTTATATAATTTTTTATGTATTCGTTATGTTTTGTTCAGTAAGTAGACTGATTTTATGATTTAGGAAATTTTGTTTTACATTTCTACCTTGATATCATCTAAGGGACATCTAAATCATTTTTCGTAAGATGGATACTCTTTCATACATGCTTAGGCCCAAATTGTAAATAGTTGAAACTATGAGAAATTCTTAAAAGCCAGCCGAAATTTTAGTCAATAATTTAAAATAGTTGTTGAGGTTTTCTATTCGAGAACAAAGCTATGACAACAAATAAGATGACATTATATCCTGGGAGCGATTGTATTGTACCTTTTTTAAGAATAGCTATGTACACTTGATGACTTTTCTAGTTTTCAGAGCTTTTAGAGCTGACTTAATTTACGTGAGCTAAATATTGTGTTGGCCTGGAGGTTGCGGCGCTGTTTCATACAACTTATACGTACTTTCTAAGTTAATTTGCACACCACTCACATTCAGTAAAGGAAATTATGTAACCGAAACTATATAATAATTCCTATTTATATTAACTATTAAAGAAATACGAACGACGATTATCGGTTGTCATCATACGAATGTCATGATGATATCTAACAGAGACAATAACAGAGTTTTGAGCACAGATTAGATATATCATGATATGGTTACGTTATGATAATTCTCAATATTTCATTATTTTATGATTTTTCATTCCTTAGGGAGAAATTACGCTATTTTTTATATATTTTGAATTAAGTAAAAATCTATTATTTTTGACCCCATGACTTCCCAGACTCCTTTTATTTTTATAAAACTTACAGTTGAAAACAAAACAAAATCGAAATAATACCTTTTCGGGTTTTTATACTTTTTTGATTACTACCAATCAACAATTTACTTATAACTATATTCCATGTCAAATTATTTTAATGTTAATAATGTAATTGATTTTAAAAATCAGTTATGTATTTTTCTATGTATAGTTATTTACATTAACGTAAATACATGTGCACAATATGCCTTATACAAATCCGCATAGTCCACAATACATGTAAATTAAGAAGCTAGATGCCATTAATTTTATCGATATCAATAATCGACCTTTCGCTCCCCCTACCATATATGAGTTTTTTACGCCTGTATTAGTGTATGTCAAACGAAGTGATTGCGTCAGTGTGACGACCAATAACAAATCTTTTAACCTAGTGCGTGTTGTTTATTTGTGTGCATTTTCCGCGTAGGTATTGGTCTCTTGCTTGTAGTAAAGTTAAAGAGTGGGGGACAAACGGCGACGCGTGTTCTAATACAAATCAGGAACTATTTCCTTTCTAGCCTTCTTTATATGTTCTGTGCTTGTAACGTAACAAAAATACTGTAGCCTACCCATTCGGAGAATACAACAAAAGTGGAAAAGAAAATAATGTAGGCCGGATTTTGATGATAGGGGATTTTGAGATTATGTACTTAGATAATGTTGAAATAGATCAATTTAAGGAAAAACAATTGGCTACCGAAACCACTGATTTCATAGTTTAACTTTTACAGATTTTCCTCTAAGGAAAACTAAAAATTTCAAGTGATGAATTACAGTTTAAAATGTTCGCTAAAATAACAGATTTAAGAGCTACTAATGCGCAATAATATCAATAATCCTATAAAATATGGTTTTAAAAGTAGACCAATAACTCTTGGCTTGAAAAAATATAATATGATCTATGAATAAATGCGTCTGTCTTCACATTTATCATCGCGAAGGTCGATCAATCCGGTAGTAAGTAAATGCATTTATGATTTGAAAATTCCCAGAAGTATCTTGAATTGCGGAAGGTTATTAAAGTTGAAGCCATTAATCCGTTTTGAGTAAACATTTGAAAGTAGTCTGAGCCATTAGCTGTATCCTGGGTTTTAATGGTCATTTGTCAAAGCCGGTTACTCAAATGTTTTGGCAGGTGCCGATATCCGAGGTGTTAAAATATTGGTCGGTGGGTGGAGTGAATCAGCCAAATGTTTGCTGTTATATCATATTCGATCCGTTTAGCCTAGATTCTTTAGATCAAAGAGAATTCAAAATGTAACAGTATTTAGTGGGCTAAAACATGTTTATGTGTCTTTTCAAATCTCGTTTATTTGAACCGTGAAGTATAAAATCATTTTGTTTGTTTGTCTGTCAAGCTTTTGTACCTTCTTACGTTTCATAAGAGTAATGATAAATTTACCTTCACTTTGCAACAAGCGACGGGAGGACCGACATGTTCAGGTACGTGGTCTCCCTGAACTGTGAGAGTAACTGGTGCCGTACATTCTGTCTGACCGTAGCCTTCCACGATCTGAAAAAATATATAAAATTATATTAATACAACAACATCTCTTAAAGATAACGTGTCATCCGTACTTGGCCAAAACTTAATTAGCATCTAATGATATTTATATTTTTACTACGTAGACAAGCCTAGTAATCTTGTTTAAAAAAAATATCTCTACAAACAAGAATAAACGATCTTGTTTGCGTAACCGCGTTTATAAACGATGACAACAAGAGTTCACGAGCGAATAATTTCACTAGGATTAACGAAGTGGGTGTATAAGAATGAACTGAGATCACTGTTTATAACGGATAATACGAATTCCTTAAAATCTTAATAAAAATTCAAACAACCATTAAATATTTATAACAATAGAGATACAAAAATTTAGACAATGCTAAAATCGTCGACTCAATGACGGTGACGTAAATTATTCCGTTACAAAGTAATAAAGACCGTTTAAATTAATTTCCTTCATTTGAAGAAACAAAAGATTTTGCAGTAACCTGAAACTAAACGGTCATTCACACTGCAGTAGGCGTGGTTATTAAACCAAATCAAGAGACGCCTCTCACTGTGACTCATTTGACAACAATAGATGTGAATGAAAATTTAAAAGAGACTGAGATGGTCTAGATAGATAAATCAAAAACAGTTTTAGATCTAACATTAATAGAAGGCGATGAAGTGAACATAATAATATTTGTTCGAGGAAAACAAACATCACTGCATAGTACGGCCGTCAAAATAATTTATGAACACATTGATATTATTCTGCCCCGTGGCAATCAAAATGTTATGATATAAAATAAGAGCAAAACTGTTCTCGAAATAGCTGAGAGGACTGTTGGCGGTATTCCATACGACTGGATAGCAGAAGACAATTTGTGATATGCGGGAAGATTGATGTGGTAGACTATGTTAGATTTGTCTTTCAAATGTTCAGACAATAATGTAGTAATCTAAAATTAAATCATTGTATTTGCGACAGTTATTTTCAATCCACGAGTGTAATACAAAATGTACTACTATCCAGACTATTCTTCATTCTTCGACGAAGAATCCAAGAATGTTTTCTTTACAGAATTCGTGAACCTTCTTCGACCACACTGCGGCTCATTGCCAAGTAGTCATGGTAGTAGATTTAATGGAAGCCATTAAACGTGCTTATTAGTAACCTGTCATTCCCTCGAGACATAAGATGACCAATGTCTAATATTACACGGCACGAGTACCATCGTTACTGTTGAGGAACGCCAATCATGCATTTTAATGATGGATGTCAATGAGTGAAGATAAATGATTGACTACAATGTCACCGCATAATTTTTGACGCACGTTGTCTACTCGATTTCATTGGCTCACATTTCCAAATTGATTAGTTTTCACACGTCTGCCAAGAATCAGAAAGTTTTGTAGAAATTAGTAGCTTTTTTACCATAGGTAATCGATTTGTGAACACTGTTTTTAGAATCTGATGCTATTTTTGTCGTTTCTTCAAACATAATCATCTAGTCTCTAGTATTACAGTCTAAGATCACGCATTGGTTGGATATACTTTTGAATTAATTATTATAATGGTAAGAAGCACTATGTATACATACCAGGCAGCCCAACGCGCATCTTGCGAAGGTGAGCACATTCCCGGCAAGAGGCGCGGAGCCCACCACCATGATACGCAGGCGACCGCCCATACCCTCGCGCACCTTGCGGAACACCAGTTTGTCCCAGACTGAGTCACTACGCACTATGCCCCTGCAAACAGATACATCAACTTTAATCATCACCATATTGACCACAAGACGTTTACTACTAACATACTAACATCCACAAACTTCCAGATCGGCCAGTTAGTAACGCTAGAATTGCCACCCCAAAAAAGTCGGATTGATATCAGAAATAAACTGCTACCAGTTAGTTAAACGATGCCATTTAATAAACAGGCTTAGGTAAGGGAGAATTGGTTAGTCACATTAATTTCACATCTAAGGTATTATTAAAGCAATAAAATCGCCAATCGTTGCCAGTAATTGGCAATATCCTTTGACCATAAAGAGTACTGAACTTCATAATATCTAAGTATCAATAGTAAAAGACTCTGTCTCTTTTTTAAGCATAAAAATATATATATATATATACTTGGCCTTCCTAGTAAACCAACATATAAATGCCAAAGATATAACTAAACTTATTAAATTAACTATTTTAATATCTATAAACCCTTTAGTTCTGGTACTTGATTTAATTACGTCGATAGCAGTGGCAATAATCGCACTACTAAACAGGAATAAGATGTTTTAATGTAAATTAGTTTTTTAATTACCTTTTTAATTCTGACTCCTTTGCCGATAGCGCCATATTAAAAAGTAATTTCTTGATCTTGGAACTAGATATTTCAGACTGTGCTTTATCGTAGAGCCTGTTCAGAAGGCGAGGTACAGCGGGCATCATTGTTGGTTTCAAAGCAATCAAATCATCACCTAGCCGTCGAATGTCACCACTGTAGAAACCAACAGCTCCTCCTACCATGTAGAGAGCATTCTAGAAAGACCACAAGAAACTCATTAAAATTTGATTTTGAACCAAATAGCGAGGAAAGTGCGTGAGCGAAAAGCATCTCAGTAGCATAAATTGTACAAGATATGATCATTGTAAGTACTTGGCAAGCGAGTGGACAATTTAATCGTGGAATGATGACATCTTACGATTACATAATTAGCTCAGTGTATAAAGGGCGGCATTTATTTGATGGCGGTGCCACACTTGGCTTAGCTTATTTGCTAAGCGGTATTGCTATTTACATAAGAACTCGTACTTTGTAAACAGCACATGCAGTTCTGTGTAAAAAGCCGACTGGTTGGTAGGTACATATTTGCTCAAATAAAGAAAATACAGGAAAATACTCGATAATAGAAATTTTAACTCGTAAAGGCAGGTACAGTTATGTAAGAAGTTACAACTAGTGGACTGTCTATGATGGCATGAAAATAAGAAGATGAATTACCTCGCAGCACCGCTCCAGCATGTGTGCAAGAGGTAGGAAGGAGATCATGACATCGTGTTTCATGGGCCGATGTTCACCAAGCTGCATAATAACACTGCACATCGACGCGACTACATTCTCATGGGTCAACATCACGCCTTTAGGCATTCCCGTGGTCCCTGATGTGTAGCAGATTGTGCACAGACTTTCCGGTTTTGGTGGCTGGAAGAAAATACGCAGGGCAGTGAATAACAAAGACCACATTAATTTTTATATCGTACAAGTCAAATATTTTTGTGTGTAATTTCAAAAGAATCCAACTACGAACAGTTTGAATTTTCCTCTAATACAAGACTTGTTCTATTTATGGTGTTTTTAAAAAAAATATCTCAAACAAAACAATAAAATACTTACGAGGCAAGGGTGATCTTTTTGCGCGCCTTGTATTTCAACATCGCTGAACTTAAGAATTTCAACGCCTCGGCTCCTCGCTCTTTGATGCGTCGAAGGCGAGACCTCCTTAATGGTGATCAGTTTCCTTAAACATCTCGGCGACTGGTCGAGAAGCAAATTGGCTTTTTTGTCGTCTTCACAAATAACTACGGACATTTCGGCTGAAACGAACAAAGGAAATAGTTAGATGCCAATCTAGGACATTATTAGAATTCTTTGTCTTTTTCTAATACCCCGGCATTCTGAGAAACTTGGACCGTAAGAATCTGAACCAAAGCGTCTAGACAAAAAAGGAATAAAATTTATTCTACAGACATTATAGCTTTATCTGAATCTGAATTTATAATAAAATTACATACTAAAGTTAATGCCTTTTCAGCTTTAATTATAGGTTTAGTAACTGCAGATAAGTACTACAAAAATAAATCAAGCGAATCAACGTTGGTTTAATTAAAAGGACTATAAAAGTTACTTGTACTTACTTTGATTTACAATGAAGGCACATGCATTTGCTCCGAGAGTATCATATAGTGGCACAATTACCATTGAATAACAGTAGGCAGCCTGTTCTGTCATCACCCATTCAGGACAATTCTGTGAATAAATACCTGAAAAACACAAACATAGCTTAGAATAAGGAAAATTATCTTGCCAGTATCAGATGTTGATGGGAGACTTACTGTGACGTAGTAGTTAATCATTAGTGCATAAGAATATAAACTGTATCTCTGGAGAGGAGGGAGGATTAATAAACAGAACGTGTAACGATTAACATCTTGTTTGATTTATCGAAGTCCCGTCCTTACCCACAAATGTGTTTTGGCCAGGAACAAGTCCTTGACATATAAGTCCTGATCCGAAGTTTTTCGCTCGTAGCAGAGTCTCATTGTACGTCTGCCACACGTATGGTTTATTTGGTCCCTCACGCCAACCGAGGCAATTGCCATTATCTGCAACGAGATTAAAGAATTGTCATTAAACATTGTAGATATTTATTATAGTCATCATTTATCATGTCTTCAATCTCATAAAGCTGTCTTAACTCGACCACTGGTTAAGTGGTGGAATATTCCGTACAATATAAACTTGCTTTATTTTTCCTATGTTTTATTTTTATTAAGTGAATGAGTACAAAGCGCCCGTGTATTGTGGTTTAAAACAAAAAATAATACTGTCCCGGCTACTCTAGTGGCACAAATTACGTTTAACTGTATCCTGTAAACCAGTTTCTGAATGATGTTAACAATATTTTGTAATAGTGGGGTATTATCGTATTTATCGTTAACGAGCGGAAACGTGGAGGGAAATAAGGTGGGTCTTAGAATTGTGCCTTGGGGCACTCCCTATCTTGCAATTGTATGCGTACTATTACAATGAGTGCAAGCAACTGAGTATGTAAACTTGTTTAGTTATGCCTAGGTTTAGATATAGTAACTGCACAACTTTGTAACCATAAAAACAGAATTTATATTTTGTTTGATTCAAATAAATATTTTGTACTTTTATCGAAACTACTTACTTGATTCTTTGACACCCCGTCGGAAAGTTTCGTAAAGTGTACGTGTGTCGTCATGTAAGTAACGAAGGTAACGACCGTTTTTCGCTTCTTTGTAGAATTTTGAAACACGAACCATCTCGGGACCCTGTAATAAATAAAAGTAAATTATGTTCATCAGTAAATAAATACATATGTTGTAATAATTTCATAATAAGCCCAGTGAAGTGTACAAGTTTAGTGTCATCGCACTGAATCCTTGCAACGCACGGGAAACTAATCAGCTGTAATCTTATTAACAAGCAGAGTCATCGGATTATTACGACGACCCAGTAATGGTTAATGAGAATTACATAAATTTAAACAAACAGTCCAATATAATTATGACTCAACGAGTCACAAATTCATTTGTATGTTTCGCATGGTGTCTATCTATATTTGGAAGAAATCGAATTTTTAGAAAAATCATTATACGATTACCTAGAAATAATTTCCAATTTTAACACCACGACTCTATTGAAGATATAATTTGTGATAAGTCAATGAATAGGGCCATACTAGTAATATAAAGATGTGCGATAGACTTCAGAAACAAAAATTATTTAAAAACTGACCCTTTTAAGGAATGTATGTAAAACCACAAGTAAGTACTACATAAAAGTTACTAAAATCATATGCTAATGCCTCCCCGTTAACCTAATGACATAGTTGGCCCACTAACTCCGAATCTTGACTCGGAGCGTGGAGCACTCTTACGCGTTACGGTATATTATTATTACAGTTTACACAATGATAAATGGGACGATGAACGGGTCAAAGACACTTGTGAGAATAGAAAAAGAGTAACAATTTGGCGATGGAATCGGTAAACCATAAAATATTATGTCATTACGGTAATGAACCTAGTATTATAAAGAAGTTTGCCGTAATAATAACAACATTTTCCAATTGTTTCGTGAAGAAATTCTTTAAGATTGTTATGTTTGGTCTTATGAATCACGATTGTAATGAAACTAACTTTTAATATTCTGTAAGCTATTTAAGTTTATAGATTTAATTATGATGTTGTGACATCGGCCAGTGTTGAAACTGTTTAACAGTAAGTTGTAGACATAACATTTCTGTTATTCGAAAATAAAATAGTCGTAAGAGTGCCCAAACCTCGATTAAAGACAAACTATTTATAAATTCGATGTAAATAATATCGGGGAAAATGATGATAAATTTTGAGAAGCTGTAAAAGCAATGACGGATTTTAAACCATTAAAATTAAATTATGAAAAACAAAATGTGTGTGAGATCAAGCAACCCGATCTTGAATTTCGTATGCAAGGTCAAAAGGAAATTGGTCACGCGAAGCCAACTGAAAAATGTGCTGGTTTACTGACTGAGTATTTATAAAAACGTCGTGACACACACGACTGTTGTCCACGCTATTCTCAGTTCAGTACGCTAGTCTCGTACGATGACAATTTTAGATATAAGAATTGTTGTAATTCGTACGTAGAAAAGTCAATTGTACGATGTGAAAAAATCTTTGTATTTGAAATAGTAGTTTCGACGTCAATCTTTTCGACCGAGAATTTTCTTTTTTGATTAACTTTTGATTTAATGTACATACAAGTTGTCATGTTTCTTTCATCTGATTTTATCGAGAATAGCATGATTTTTTTCACGTAGCTTTTCAAATTTCCTGTCAAAAGTTATAAAATCAACAAACTAATTTTTCCGGTAGGTATTAGTTTTGTAGACGTGACTATTTTTCCATTTGCGCATAATATTATGGAACAAAAGTAAAGTTTCGAATAAGTAGGAAATATATTTTCGGAAACCTGGTTCCTTTGCCCTTAAATACAAAAACAAAACGTGATTCATATGTTAGCCCATACATTAACATTGACACGTACATAACTTACTCTAACTTGACATTGACCAACGAATTTCTGAGGCGAGGAAATTTATGTGACGCAAAAAATTCTATAAATACCGTAGGAAAGCCCTGAAGAGGGCGTGACGGGACATGCGGGTTTTCTTGGCAAGTTGAATTACGATGATGTCTCAAAAATAGTTGACATTGTCGACGTGTTTAGTTTACTGTTATTTCCGCATGGATCTTTAATAGTTGTATAATTGTTAGCGCTACATTTCATAGCATTCAACTGGATAATGGATATTTAAGACGGTGGGTATTTGAGGCAGAACTAATTTAGTTTAATATTCTAGAAACTTGGACTGTCACATTGTTATGATCGCTATTACCAGCTTTCGACGAATTTCTAATTTCGAAATTCGCAGTGGCAACAAGGAGGTTGGGTATTGAACGGTTTCTAGCAATAGGCTCGTTACGCTCATTTCTAACTATTTGTAGTGAAAAGTGAATTTCCACCTAAGAACCAAAGGTTTAACTTGATGGTTGGTGGATTTTTCTTTAATCCTGTTCATATCACATTTTATTAACTACAAGCTAAAAGTTAAAAACGTTTTCTAAGCTAGGTACCTAAAAAAAGGTTTAAAAACTTTTATTTTCTCAGATTTCCACCTACATTTCGGTGACATGTTTTTGAAACATAACAACTGCTCTTCATGGTTGACTCGGTTATATTTATCTTCTAATTTACATTCACACATTTCAAACTGTGTCATATGTGGCATATAGAAGTAAGTGCTAAATGTTATTGTTTGTAGAATCATGAAAGTAAAACTGTAACGGATGGACAATGTAGTGCATGGAAAAGTAAACACTAAGCGCTTCACCTAACTAATAATTCAGAATATATTATCTTTGTTGAACGATCGATATTGATTGTCATAGTGTACAGTTCTATGGCGCGTGTTCTCGATTTTTCACAGAAGGTTAACGGGAATGTCGCTAGCAGACGTATGTTAGCTTGGCCCTTAACTATGACGATAACGGTTTTAGGCTCAAAACTAGTTTGTATTGAGACGATTATCTGTTTTTTATTCAACACTGTACTTGTATCATTTTACAAATTGCTTTCGCTATTATCTTCTTTTTACATTGCTTCCAAAATGCTATAAGATGCTTGTGTCTATTAGTAGTCGGTGGTATTTCATTTTGATATTTCAAACTAAATTGACCCTGACATGAAAATACAATAATTTGAACAGAGCTTTCTACCTGTCTTTCAACAGTCTGCAAAACTATAATCCATTATAAACTAAAGAACATGAGCAAAGAAAATGCTTTTAAAATTCTTTATGATATAACAATGCACGTGTTCACTCGTTATATTTATTTATCGTTAAACTAAACAGATGCTAAGATCAGCTGAAGAATAATTAGCGATCAACGTCGATGTCACTCATTAGCAATTTACCAAAGATAAAATGTTGGCAGTTTGTCAAATATGTCACGGGATAACACCTTAGTTGGTGTAATTATGTTACAGCATAATAAAAGTAATGAACAATGAACAATAACAACGTAAACAGTCTATCATCTGTCGACTGATTTTGTTTACTATTCGGTTGACAGAAAGTAAACAAAGATTGTATCGTTGCATTGATGGTTAAATGGTTAAGTGGTACTAAGTGGGGTTGCACAGAACGATAGAAATAACAAAAGTATTGCTTTCACTGGTTATAAAATGTTAGTACCAAAACGAAGTTATGTTATGATGAAAATAGAAAGCTCTAATGAAGTTGGGATTAATTAAACCAATAGAGCCATGTTTGGATTTAATACCCGCAATAAAGTTATCAAGACATTTCTAATAGCGAGTTCCAATTAGCAATGCTTGCAAAGACATAATTCTTGAACACTCTTTTATTAGCTGCTTGATTAAGTGACCACGGAACATAGCAATAATAAATTTAAATATAAATAAAGACTGACATTGGTATCGTATGGTTTAGAAAAACATGTTCATTAGTCGTTCCTGTTTTCAGAACATTTACAACTGCCGCTAATTTATTATCCATTCAGCTTTGTGTTCTCAAAGAACCGATGATTCTAAATCGTCCTACGCAGTGGAAACAGTAACATTTTCTGGAGATCATAACTCAACTGTTAATAATTTCGCCATTGATATTTACGAAACTTGAATGGAATGTGTAGACGAACTACGCATTACTGCATATCTTATCGATGAATAATAGGCAGTGTCTTGTTCAGTTGCTTGTTATTGTTGGCTTAGTGTGAATGAAAATTAATGGCATAGGAATAAGCAAAGAGATACAATGGACTCTTAATCTTAAAATGTTAAACATGACGCAAAATTCATAATCGTATTCGTATGTAAAAGAAAACTATCCATATCATCTTATGATCTCATTTTACTAGGTTTCAGGTTAGGCTAGGCAAGCCAAAGACAAGAAATGGATAGCATAATCAGTTATACAACGTTATTTACAAAAAAAAAGTTCAACATAATTTCTATGACATTCCATTTTTCTTCTAGAACCTCACATAACTCCTATCAGACATCAAAACATTTCACTGTGAAAATTGCAATAATAAATTTTCAAAACCCATTCTCTCCAGCAATATTTCAATGCCATCTTGTCATTAGGTATACAAAGTAATTGTGTGGGGATGAACGTAACAATAGTTCGTCTCGATATTCTCGATACCATCCCGTGACTCGTCTGGATCGTTTGCCAAAAATCTATACAATTCAGTCAACTCGTGAGCAAACGACCCTTCACAAAAAACATTTACGTTTTGTCACTAGGCGTAAAACCGTACTAATTTTAAAATTTAATAAAGTGTTTGATATATTTAGAATGGATAGTACGAGAATTAATCTAAGAATAGTTTATTACGTTGGGGCTATAGAAATATAAAAACATAATGTTATTTCAAGGTTGATTTGCACTTAGCTTTTTATCCTCGAAGGGATAGGCAGATGAGTAATCGTTGTTAATCCCCAGTTACGCAGCTAATATAGAACGAGTTTATTTTCATATACAGTAGTCACGAACCGTGCTACCAATAGGAATATTTCGGTATCAGAAACTTTGCGTGACACAGGAAACCAACTGACTAGGAAATACGTTGTCAAGCAACGAGGTATTCCGAAAATTTATCCTACCAAATAGTAACAAACAGCCACGCAATATTTGAAACAGATCATTGTTCATAGGAAAACAAATAACTGTTCAATAAATCATTTCACAGTCAAGAAGGACTGGACTGAGATTTTGATGGTATATTTGTCCTAAATTGTTATTGGTCTTAAAACACAGATACATGATAGTCATTATAACGAACGATAGCCAGAGCAGTAAATTGAACAAGATTTGACAAAACACACTCTCGTGAAGATATCAAGGATAATCTTCTGAGTTACTAAGGTGAATGGAAGTAAACGGCAGTCATAAAGCATAATTACAATTCTAAAGACAGATCTTTGTGCAATAATATGAATGGACCGATTCATATATTTTAGCTCTAATAACGATGAGTTTGCATGAAACGTGAGGCAATAATGATGGATGGATTCAAACAATAATAATAAATACAGTGGATGCTACTTTATACGCAATGTTAAGAGTAAATGCGGACTTAACGCCTTAGGCATTTTCGACCAGACAACCTTTAAAGACACATTGTATGTGCAAGAATAAACAAGTTTACAAAGCAAACAATTGTAGCTTTAAGAAGTGAAATGTTAAATACTACTACTACTATAGGCTAGCAGGGGGATTTACGAAGAGATTAATACCAGGTACCCTACAGTACCTTCGATAACTTATTTATTGAAGGTATCATTTTTATTAGTTAACTTCATAACGGAAAATAAAATATTAGACAACATCAAATAGAAAATGAATAGAAAATAGAGAATACAATCCTAAGACCATAAGCAACATGAAATAAGGTTATGCTGAAGTGGTATATTTTTTTTAATGAGCCACCCCGCCACAACCTCTCAAAACTGCTGCAATTCCTGTAAGCCTGGGTCTACAGTAGATACAACCATGAACATACCGGAACACTGACAACACTGAACAAGTGGTGTTTACTGCAAACACTCCTTACGTTTTATTTATTTTTTCATGGGTGAGCCTCTATTATCACAACCAGTTATTATTTCCATGTAAAAGGGACTAAATAACGTAACTGGTTCTGCTTAGAGTTTACGCAAAAATATTAGAACAGTTGCAAAAATTGTATAATTATGATATTAATTCTAGTGACAACGGCTGTGTTCTGTAAGTTGCTGTTCACAATCATTTGCGATCTTTAATTCTTTGCAGTGAGAATCTCAAGACATTTTTTTAAATAACTAATAGGACATTATTAAAAAAAGCCTATTATTCTTTGAAAGTTTACTGTCGCTTTTGTGGGACTCGACCTACGACGCACTGAATATATCAATACGGAATAGGTACTCTTCGTACAGCTCTTCAATAAAAAATCATAAATTCGGACATATCGCCAACTTTTAAGACGTAAAATAAATGGGTGTATAATAAATATCGTCATGAAAAGTCATGATACTTTTCACGGCGCTAGTTAATATATTTATCGTTAAAGTATTTATTACCTGTTGAAAGCATATCAATCGTCAGTATAATTTCTAACCTTTCAATAATTTTCTAGTATAACCAAGCTTTAACTGATTAGCATTTGGCATCGGTGTAGCTGTCTCACCTCCAATGTAAACATTTTGTGTTTAATGTCATTCTATTGAACATTGCTATAAAACTTCAACATTCTGATGGAAAACAGATTTACTTTACATTATAGAGGTACTATCAAATCTATTTTGCTTCAAACTCAAAGGTATAAACATAAATAATATGTAGGTGTAACTCGAAATCTATAGCAATGACATCAACACTAAAATTCGTTACGTTACATGACCCTTGATAACCATTGGTACTCTATGGCCACACACAGAGTCCACAGTCTCCACTTATCCACAATTTTAAACCAAGCAATTAAGATTGCTTGGTTCGTCATTTAACAATAAAAAAAAATTACAATCCAATTAATACGTGTCTGTAATCAAAATTCGTAAAAGTTTTTAAGTAAAGCAAAATTATGGATTGTCTTTTTCAATATAGGTATATTTTATTTTTATCAAGGACTTGCTAGTCCTAATACTACCAGAACTTATCAAAATCCACAAAGATATTTCTAAGCATAAAAGCAATTGTAGAATCGAATAACAGTTCTTCATAAAAACAAACGGAAGCAACAATCTTGAGGAAGGATCTGCAACCATTGAAAAAGAGGATGAAGTAGGCATTCATAAAATAAAGGAAATCCTTTATGAAGCTTCTAGAAAAAGTGCCATAGAGCACTATAAGAAGGTTTGTACAAATCTCCCACACATCAAAGAGTGGAGTCATTACTTCCTCTAGTTGTTTTTATTAGATATTTTATTAAGAACATTAGTAAAACTATTTGTAACGTCTAGCACTAAGGTCGCCTGTTTTATGTTAAGTCTTAACAAATTACGTTTGCGTTAACGTTTCCGTGGTTTATGGCCGGTATTTACTTAGATATTAGGGATGTGACTCGTAAATCTGACAGAGACGAGAAATATTGTGGACTAAGTGTTGTCATCAAGTTTTAATGTAGTACTAGTTTACCGTTCCATTTGATAAATAACTACTCAGCTATCAACGTTTTATCCAAAACTATAAATCATCAAAATTATAGAATAGATATTTAATTTTTGTCCTTTCTTTCAAATTTTGAATCTCTTGCTCGACAAACCAATTTATTTTTTAAGAGAACGCTTTCGCTTAATGTCTCACTTTTTCTCCAAAGAAAAAAGTGTACGGTGTTCTACACCATACAATAGCGCACACTATAGGAATAGACTCCTAATGAAAAACCGCAGACATTGTGCCAATGCCAAATAGCCTGAGATAAGGGTGGAAAGAAGAAGAGAAAAGTTTAGATTAGTTTAATAAGAGCAAAAACGAATTTGAACTTTACATGAATAACAAACAGTACTTAGTTTACATTATAACATACGTATTATGAAGTACTGTACATGTTTTTATTATTTTGTTGATTTGAAAAAGCTATTTCAAAAAAAAACAATAGCTTATTATTTAGATTAATACATAGTATGTCAAATGTAAAACATGTCAATTGTTTTAGCATACTCAAGTTGCTTATTTATAACATTTTTCGACACCTCGTGTGTCTCGGAAGTGTCCAATGAAAACATTACCACTCGATTCTCTTTCAAAATATCTTAACTAATTTTGTGTCTATAGAAATGAATTATCTAGAATTAAATGTTGTTCTATTTCTAATCAGTAGCACCATGTATCTTTGCCGGTGGGACTTTTAAATGATCTGAATCTAAATGTTCTAAATGTTGCGGAGCTCTGCCAACTATCGGGGCGTGAGCCACGTCTAACAATGTTTCGACCTCTACAATACATATCAATTTTACTCAACACTATGCATATATTGCAATATTAATCCTTCTATCCTACAAAACACTTCAAGCATTCTCTTTAATTGTGTTATTGTTTCAAACTGACATATTAATCACCATTATCTCGAACGATCTGAATGCTCACTAACATTATATTTTATTTTAATTTCATAACAGAAACGTAGATAATTTCGTAACATTTCCAGCTGTTACAAAATTCTCACTAAGGATTCTTAATTGCTAATTTAATTATTTTGTGAATGTAATTTTTATTACATCTTCGAAGGTTTACAAGCTATATCACTTACTCTAAGGGCATCCGATTGTTCGCTGAGGCTTATCGGAGGTCGAATCGGAGGGACTCCGATACAGCAATCACAGCACGCCATTTTTACAATTAAATGTTATCACTCAATAAAATGCACCGTTTCTTTTAAATTAAACCGTTTTATGTTGCGCAATCATCGCAGAATTTAATTAATGGAACGCGTTTTAACTTTTCATTAGACTCACAACACTTTTCAGAGTTCACAGTTTGTAACGTCGTGTGAATGGACCGTCCCGTTTAATAGTATTGGCCGATTCACTTTGGCGGACTTTGCAAGTATCTCGTCACTTTCGCTAGAGACTTTTGGGAACTGACAGGAGAGCAGCGGGCTGGGCTGCTCGTGGTACAATGAGTTAAAAATATCGCTCGAAGATGCGCTCTGCCAACTCGAGATCGTCGGCTGTTGGTATTAGGACAACTCGAACTTTGATACCGCAATAAAAAGAGGGAAACCCTACCATCATAATTTAATAATAACCTTTAAAATATTTTATAGGATTAAGAGATACCTATTCATAAATAATATTTTTATCTGTGCAATCATTAAGTTGTCATCTCATTACATTTTATTTATGTTATCAAAGTACCTATTGTCAACAAATTCTAGATTATTTTGCATACGCAGACAGAGTATGCTTTATTTTATCGCCAACTTGGTACAAACCGTGTTTATCGATCATTGACCTCACAATATGTATTGAAACAATAGGTCCACGATTGCTATATCAGATAATCTCTATTTTGGCCATGAACTAGGTTTGAGTGTATTTTGTTTTCCTTGTTATTTGGGCTATTAATTGAGTCCGTAAATGGAAGCCACATTTGTGTGTAAACAAAACTGGGTCCATTGACTAACATTACATCACCGGGGGTAGGTCTGTGTCCTTCTACGAAATCTGTTACGTAATTCTATAAACCGCTACGTTGTTTTTCCTCAAAGATCTACGATTAACCATAAAAGATACTACAACTTCTAACAATGTTACATTGGGCAACTTTCTTTTTGGTACAATATGCTTTATTGTTTAAAATTATTGTTAGTTAGTGTCTTGTCACTAACTAACAATAATTTTGCATATCACAGAAACTAATTTCGACCGAACCTTAGCAGTTGCAGTAATATTATATTATGCTTTGTATGAATCTGTTAGTTCAGTAAACTTCCTGTCAATCATTAGTAATGCTTACCGACTCAAGGAGGCTTTGTTCGTGTAGAGTGACGAGGGGCTTCTCGGGCTTCGGTCTCGTGCTGAGGTAGAAAGCCGAAGCAGCCGCCACGCCGGTCAGCGCCAGCGCACCCGCCGACCCGCCGACCATCCATAGGTACTGGTCGATTTCACTCACTGTAAAGAAGGAAAGAGGAACTTGAAATAGTTGTTTAGGAAATGATTTATTAACGTCGAAAGATATAGATATTTACTTTTTTAAGGGGGTAAATCATCTAATACTTCTTCCGCCTTGGGTGAGGCGAGAGGTGTCAAATTTTTATTGAAACCACCCCGTTCCTACTTCAAACCGGAGCCCCGGTAACCCGTAAAGTGTTCCGCGGATAATTAGGCACTAAATTTGTGATGTCTATAATGGTAGAAGACCATTATTGGGTTAGTCATACCGGATTCATAACAAACGAATACAAATATAGGTATCATGAAAACCTTGGTAATGTTATCATAAAGGTCCACAAGATATGTTTTCAATAACACGATTGATAAATTACTTAAACAGGTAGGAAGGTTTTCCTTGACTTAAATCTTATCTTTAAAGACTTTTGAACATCAATGACAAAACTGTTACTACCTAAACTATGTATTTTGATGTCAGTAACATTTTAGTACTAAATGAATGAAACCATCAAGCTTTGCTTATAAAATTTAAATCTAAACATTTTGAAAAATGACTTCAGTCAACTTTTATTAACATATCGTTGCAACAAATACCTATGGCAAAAAAATCCAAAACAGCTGCCATACTTGTCGATAAGTCAAAAGAAATAAAATTTATAGACACTTGATATACATGAACAAACAATCCGTCAGGGTACCGATTAATAAATCGTTAAAACCAAATAAGGTGATATGATAATGACAAGCCAATAAAACTTAACAAAAGAGCTATCTGAACAACTGGTACTTTCGATAATGACCTGGCTACGAACGACCTTACCTGTCAATCTCGACGCCACTAATGAAGATTGAGGAATTCTTTAAGAAAAACGACTCTGAGGCGGAAAGAGTTGTACTTGAAGGACGTTACACTTAATTATAACCGTTGGTCATTTCAGAAATATTAATAACTTTATAATGCCAATGAGATTGAAGTCTGCAGCTGACTTGTTCTTAGATCATTGTTGGTGCAGCGGCTTCTTATCATACGCCTGCGCCGGCATTATGATCCTCCGCATAAGGAAATGTCAATAAAACAACTTTCATGCGCCCGAGCGACTAGTAGTTCCTGAACTATAAACTGCGCGCGCAGTCTAGCCAGTTTAGAAAGTGGAAACTGGGGAGCGTGCACAGACGACGCATTAGCGCATAGATTTCTCGGGATTCTCTCGCGCTTTCCACTGACATACTTTTGCTAGTGATATTTACGGTTTTACTATACTATAAATACGTATAGACATGTGAGGTATCTAGTGTTATCCATAGACTTTCCTCGCGAAACCCGTATCACGGTGCATCTGACCTAATAATATTATGCAGTGACCTAATAATAAATTCAAACCACAACATATTATAAAATAATATGTATTTTTAAAATTGTGTACAGATGTTATTAACCTAACACCAAAATACTATACCAACATGAAATCAAAATCAAAACTACAAACTAAGGGACAGGGTTATTCAAATCGCAAAAGTCAATGCCGTAATCGCCATTTCAATCATTAGAAGGGTTCAAATTATTTGAAGGCGACGTTTAAGGTCATGTTGCCCTCGATACCTTGTCGCTTGTACAGCTAAATGTACTCAACGATTTCAAAAGTTAGAGCCTTGGTGATCCAATTTCCCCTCATTGAACATTCAAAGGGCGTAACAAGCATGACGGCCCTTCAAGAGGTCCTTAGGTACTCTTGAATTAATTCAAACCAGTAATTTCTATTGTTCCTTTATATTGTTTTGGTCTAGTATAATCTTTCATTTATATTAACTACCAGTTTTGTACAGACCTATTGTTAATAGAAAAGTTGATTCATGGGAAAATATTTTCTAAACTAACCCCGTTAATTTCATTGGAAAAATTATTATATGCCCTAAGTTATTTTAAACTATGCCCAATATCCATATAGATTTAATTTACAACAATAAATATTACAAATTCTGTACAGTTTTGAATGATGAGAAGGAATTACAATTTAGCAAAAAATATTATGAATCAACTCACAACTGTTACATTGGTTCCACCAGATAGGTTTTTCTCGTGTATTATCTTCAGTCTTCTTATTATCAGTCTTCTTTAGTTTTTTCTGTATTTTTTGACATTTTTCCTTAACACTAATTTCAGTCTTTGCAGCTACCATGTTCACTTTGTCCTTTTTAACTTGAAAACCGAACTTTCCGCTTCCCATTTTTGTAATTAGTTTAGCACATATCGTTCCATTCACATCAGGTCAGTGTGCACGTATTGGTGCATTATCCTCTCCACTGACGCCTAGGGCATGGTCTGCGTCGGCTGGATTATTTAAAATGTTAAAATTATGACTGTACTATATAAGTACACGTTCGCCACTCGAGTGTCGTAAAGATATTTGATATCGAATTATTTTGTTGCGGAATGAATCGGAATCCATAAAACTAAAAGGTTTTATAGAGTTATCTCGAGGAGGCTTTGGCCTTGTGAAGTTCATTAACACTATTCAGTCGATAACTGAAATATAATCAAGCACCTGATTCCGTCGGTTGCTTATCTAGTTTGAGTCATTCCCCTTGAACCGATTAAGCTAGCGGTGAAATTGGAATCAGTGGGGAATGGAACAGATAAACAGGTGCGTTTCACATTAGTTGTTTGCGCATCGATGCTTCGGGATATGAATGTATGTACTACTGAGGACTACTACTAATCGTATAATGTAAATCGGCGATATTTTCCACATCAGTGAAGCGCGACCCTTATGCACGAAAGGAATTATCCAGTTGTAAATATTAATCTAGAGCTTGCCATTTAGTATTGGATTGCAACTTTGTGGGGAGTACTAAATGATAGTAGTCGTGATTGGATAGTTAAGCCTTGTTTCTGAGAACAGATTTAAGACCCACTCCGGCAGAAGTAGGTTTAAAACAGTGCAATATAAACAACATTGTGGTAATAAACAATTAATGTTTATTTGCATTCTCGGATAATTGCGGAGTGATGCAGGCGTACAGAATACGGAAGAAACAACTAAAGACCCTAAGATTGTATCTTTATTGCGATAAATTCATCGCAGAAAAAACAAACAAGAGCTAAATGTGGTTTGCTGTATTTACGAGATCAGTACTTTTAATAAAAGGTACACGTCACTTGATTAGACATATTCTCGTTGAATGGTCACTTAGGATTAAAACCAAAGACTGGATGTACTGCCGCAGACTTTAAAGGTTGACTGTTCAATTACATAAAAGACCTAAGTGAAGTGCTTATAAAAGTTTATAGACATTTAAATTAGTTTTGTCGATAACTACAGAATAGTGTAATTGCTTAGATTATGTTCTTACTGTGCACATTAACGTTTTGATCGGAAAATATTGAGAAGATCAATTCTATGGTATGATTATGAATAATAAATGTTTACAGCGCTAGTTTTGAACACCGTTTATGGGATATTGAAGGGAAATCCATAAAATGGACGTAACCCGTTATTACCGTTTCGATTTTTATTATGATGACAACCCTAAAAGTTATATTTATTGTGATGTTACTCGTCAGAAGATTAACTTTTACAAGCTCCTGGAACGACAATTTAATGATCCATAAATTGCATTTTTTGGCAGTAAGTTTTTAATTTCTGGCATTTAAAGACGGAAGTGATCACTATAAACATTATTCTTTACTTACGGGTTAATGTATTTGTTAGAGCAAAGTTGAATCTTCTGACCACAATTTCGACTTTTGATTTTCAAATACCCTACCCTACTATTACAATAAGACTGGTGACAATGTGTGAAAATATTTTATTGAACCTAAATAACAGCCTGAGGTGATGTTACGAGATCGTTGTAATACTTTAACGTAATATGGCCTTGACACCTTCATATACCTATTAATCCCCAACAGGGATGATTCAAATACAAAACCTGCTGCCCTCAAAAATATGAACAAAAAATCGACCATTAATCCTTATTATTCTAAGGCTCAATAGAACGGGTTTCTAAGACTTCATATAAAAGGACTGTCAGATCCCATTCATATGGGACAAGCTTCTAATCCGAATGTTCAATGTAAGGAACAAGTTGACCTAAAAACAGCTTTAAGCTTATGCTTTATTAGATCAACTTAACTGACAGCCTTTATAACGTCGCCTATTTACTAAAAAGATTTAAGTATTTATACTATTTAATGATAAATCTAGACTGAAATCTAATACTAGAAGTCAGTGTGTGAGTTTAGGACACAACTGTCTTGATTTTTTTACATGTTATAAATGTATGCACATTTACTATGGATGACAGTTTTCAGTTCTTTACAAAAAAGTTACTTGCTTTTGAAGCACCAAATCATCAAATGAAGTTAAAAAAACCTGAGACGATTACCTTTCTGACACAAAGCTTTTTAAAAATGATACAGCTAAATCCTGATTTCGTAAAGCATAAATCTCAAACGAATCTCGAAACAAAGCGACATAACTGAACGAATTTATGTGAGCACGATAATCGTAACGTACGATCTTAGTCTTTCAACACATGGTCACGAGTTGGACTCGAATTCGGTCAACAACGATACAGGAACAAAGCAGGCATTATAGTTATTAATTGGCCCGTTGTTACGTCCGCCTATAAGCCATATTTCATCTAACCACTGGCACTAACTATTCGACTGAACACTAAAACTAGGAATAGTTAACACTTGGTTTATACGCAAAATTTACGTACACTCGAATTTGAGATTTATGACAATTCCTTTTGATAACAATCTTGGTTAATGTCACTACGAATTAAACTGAAATGTTTTTTATTTAAGGTTTGTTTTGGTTTCTCAATATCGAAATTACAGTGTCTGAGAAAAGATAGAGGTAGTTTAATTCGACATAGTCTAGTCATCTTTTGTACATCGCTACGACAAACTGGTAGGTACTTCGTAGCATATTCCGTCCGGCTATAAAGTATTTTAGTAAACAATAGAAAAACGGTATAATCATAATTAGGCTGTATAAACCTGAAAACAGCTTTTCTTTATATACCGTGAGAAAAAAGACATAACAGTATTTTACATAATGTGCCATTGTATAATTTTGTTTGAAAATACTTAAAAAGCATTTTTATCTTTGTTGTGGTCGTCACATGTGATAGTTGTGATGCACCGTACACAATACCAACAAATAGTTCTCGGAATCGATATGGAAAACGGCAAACAGATGCTAGTAGCTGACATATGATATGACAAAATAAACAAATCACTAAAATATGCTACATTCTTCATGGTCCAGTATAGATATTGTCCTGAGAATATGTACAATTTAATTTTTTAAAGCAGTTACATAGCAGTAAACTGCTTAAAATTAATAGACGTTAAGGCGATAAATTGATATTTTTATTGTAACTAGATACTAGAGGTATAATACCTTATCGTCGGCAAACAGAAAACCGCAAAGTTACATATAAAAAAGTTTCCTGCCTTTGTAATCTATTTCCAGGAACTATTCTTGCACCGTCAGTGTCTTTAAAGAAAACCATCAAACTATCCAATAGGGTACTCATAAAACTATCAGGTATTTCCGCTATCGGCACATTCACACCTAACGGTGGTTCCGACATTTTGATCTGGTTCACGAAACAATAAAATTATATGCCTGTCATCGAAACTTGTTATACCGTAGGCCTATTCAAGTGTCATCACCCTCATTTATTTACAAGCTTAATAATATGCATCGTTGTCATTTACAGTAGATGGTACTTGGTACTGAGGCCAATGAACATAATCGGTATGTGAAATAGCATTGTGATGTACACAATTGCAGTGCGAATTCAACGACAATAATACGATACATCGATAGAAATTCCGACAACCATTGTAATACTAGATCGGGCAACAACAAAACGCGAGTTCATCGACATCGGAGCGCAGCGTGTTTTGATAAGGTCGTCAATTCGGCATCCGCCAACTTTTTCCGAGAGAACCCCGGTTACAGTTAAAAAAGCGCTAAGCGGTCAAACGCGGACCGTTTTAATTACTTCATAGTCACGTACTTGTAGTAAAATTTTACCGTTAATGGAAAGTGATATGACAAACCGGACGATGGCCGATATTGGAACCGCATTTTTTGAGATCTGCATCTTGGTAACGGGTGCCGTACATTTATTCAAAGGTTTTAATTTTGTATGCATTCTAAGACGACTACGACAAACCAAAACCAACACATCCTCGTGGTGAAACGTAATTAAACTGATTAACATTTTTACTGCCGTCCATATAACTTAATGTGTCGATCGGCACTGTTTAAATGCTAATCAAACTATCGCCATTCTATTCGCGGCGAACTATGTACTTTCGAGAACAAAGTTTCTTAGTAATTACATTAAAGAGAGGAACCAATCATGACAAAAAAAATACTGGTCAATAACCTAATACGGTATTTTAGCAAATAAATCGGCAATTTAAATTATTAAAAAAATCGAAAAGAAAATTACAGTGTCGAATGATCCAATCTAAGAATCCGGAACTATTGAAAAGTCAATGACTGTATTTATTTTTTTATGGTTGTCAATCAAGAATCGTGTTTGGTTAGATTTACCTCTAGCTTAATTGAAATCAAATAAATACGAAACACCGACTAAGCACCGCAATTTTAATCTGCGCGGTCATTGAAACTAGATATTCACAATATTGTGAAATTAATAATTTTTATAACGTTTTTGCACCGAATGTTACGCAAGGTAATACCAATGTACGAACACGAATGCACTTCCTAGGCGTTGCGCCTGCGCATACGAAATGAGACACCCACGGTAAGTGAGTCACGTCCACACGCGCCTCCGGCCCTACTTTACTATTGTACATACATTATGTACAGGACAATAATGTTGTTTATTGTACAGACTTCATCGTCAAATGACGATATTAAGTGTCTGCAGGATGTCTTTACTATTTCTTAGAACGTTTAGGGTTAATATTAGCAAACGCTAAAAACGTCTTTTACTTTGTATCTCGACTACATCAATTCACATCGCGTCATGTACGATAATATGCAACTGTCAAATCAAAAGTCCAATTCATTACACAGACAGCTGCAGACGATAAAAACTGCAATATTTTGAAGGGTCCATCAAGTAAAGATTGTAATTTAATGTTTAAAGTTTAAGGTCAAACGTTGCTGCCAGGGGCGAGCTCGGTTAAGTTAAGAAAAGGGTTTGATCTTTTTGCACTTCTATATCGAGTTCCCTTCAATTGTACGTAACCTTCGAATGTTGTACAGACAACAAGGTAACTTTAGATAATTTATCTTCGTTATACAGGACGTGAGACATCGCGATGACTGAATACGTTGCAATTTCTTTGGCAGTGCTCAAGGCCTATGACATGAATATAATTAGTAATAATAATACGGACAGTGTACTCGCCAAGCCGTTTTCGCTCAGAATTCATTGGACTTGTTCGTTCTCAACCAATTATTATGGGAACGTATAAGCAATTATTGGATTGCCAATGAAGTCATCACATTACAAAATGTAAAAGTAATTGAGTATTTTAATTAATTCGAAAACAGATTGCTAGCAGTTGGACAATTAATATGATAGACTGCGTGAAATTCAAATACTTAATAACAATATGTTGGCACTTAATAAATTAATAAGATGTAACTGTAAAATCTAAATTAGACAGTGTCTAAATGTTTTGAAGTGAGCTATGAATCACTAACAAAGCAATAATTATGCAAGAATAAACCATAAATTAATGGATAATAAGATTTCTATTCTATAGTCGTTCAAAGCGACACAGCATGACTAACTCGGGACCATCAATCAAACATTCTCATTACTCACTGCCATCCATATGCAGAAATGGTAACATAGGTCAGTTGCATTATATTTATAGTTCCCTTTTCCTCAAATAGCAAGAGAGTTTTATTCGTCTTTTTCCTCGTTGAGAAAGCAGGTGCGCACTAACGAAGCGATCAGTATCATTTGGCCCTAATGTCGGTTCAGGCGACCTTTTCCCATCTCGCTCAGACTTACACCGATTCTATGGAGAAACTACGTCGACGGCAGATGTTTCGAGAAATCTAGATTAAAAAGCAATTCGATCAAGTTCAGTGTCATTGTCAAGTGATATAACTGCAGTGGTTTATATCTTTATAACAATCCCATTCGAAACATAAGTGTGTGTTGTTAAGTTTAAGCGACTTTTACGTCATTACTTTTGAGTACTCTCGACTGTTTCCTTGAAGTGATAAAAGTTATTCGAGTTACGTCTCTAAGTGCATGTGGATATAATTTATTGCGAGACAGAACAAAGATTCTCTTCAGAGCGCTGGTGACCCACAAACGCACAATGGCTATCGAATTTCTACCTTAGCTAGTCGTGATCGCCTCAAGCACGACGGCATTAGATCGCTTTTTGTATATTTGAATTATAGTTAACCGCCGATAAAACTCTATCAATTCATTGCCGTGTTATTATTACCTTTTTATAAATATTATTTTACGTATTTAAATTTGAATAAGTTACGATTGAACTACATATTGTTACCAAATATTTCATTTTTTGATGTTTTGCCAGTACACTGTATAGAAATTATTTATTTTCAATAATACGAAATGGCATAAAGGTGAGATTGGATTCTGCAATCGTGCATAACGCAACAAAAAGTGTTATCATAAAAACAATCAAGTTAACTATTATTATTAACTACATGACGCATATAGTTGTAATTTGAAACAATTACAAAATTAAGGCGACATGCAAAATAGGAAAACACAGAACAGAAAACACGACAACAAACATTGCGACATTCGAGTGGCGACAAACAAACACTGTCTCCTGGCAAACCCGTACACTTTACCTATAAAATTAGTAAACACTTTAGAGTTTCGGTTATCGCGAGTCGGGTAATCGTCACTGGTATCGTATATGTCGTCAAAGCTACCGGTCCGGGTCGAAGCGGTAGGTATCGCGGTAAGCGCGTGCGCAGACTTATACGCGCGGCCGTTGCGCCGGCCGTCCGTTGCGACAATGCGCTTCCATGTTGCCGTGTGCTGCCTCCCCCAGTCTCACCAATTGCCTAGCCACCTCTCTCTTTTGAGTTGTTACGGGTCGGGCCAACGGTAAGCACTCGGGCCCGCACTTTGCTATCTTCCATCAGTGTTGAAAGCGATTGATGTATTTGCAAGGGTGTCATATAAATCTGACCAAGGTTTTGTTTAATATCCGTAATTAGTAATGATGAATAAATCACGAAGTAATTTGCAAAACCTTGTAAGACCCTTCTTTGTGTAAAACAAAGATATTTCAGAACGAACCAACATCAATCGTGTCGACTGCATTTGAATCGCGTGTTTTGGATCATGTGAAATCAGAGATGAAATAGAGCGGGTACCGTGAACATAACATTATTGAGATTGATTGATTGAAATGCTCAAATATTTACAACCTGCCTACCGATTGGTATAATATTGCAAGTTGTGATTGTTAAAATGAAATAAATATTGCAGTAAAAATTGCTATCCCTATAGGGAACCTGGTTCACCAAACTGAACTTTCTTGTATTTTTATAGAAAGATCTACTCAAGTCAGTAACACCGGTGTATATAACTAGAATGTACCTGTTTCTATACCTACCAATTTGCAGCTTTACAGCCTGTCATTTCCTGGATATAAAGCGAATACGATAGCAATCAAAATATACCTAGTTTCTCCACAATCAACAACGACTTGTATCATAAAGCGGCTTTAAGCGCTTTGTTTGTTTAATCTAGGCTCACCAGGATTCTTTAAGCGGTATCCTACTATGTTGTAGGACTTGATTATAGTGCAATTTGTACTTTATGAAAGGTAGAGTTGCTTACAAATAAATCGATAAATTGCTGGTATTTTTTTTTTCAGGGGGGAAAATCATCGAATGACTGCCCCCGCCTGGGAGAGGCGGGAGGGAGTGTCAGACTGTTACTGACTAAAAACCACCCCGTTCCTTTTCCTGCACATCGAGCCGGAGCCCCGGTAACCCGTTAGGTTCTCCGCAACAAATTGCTGGAATACATTGATTATTTTTCAAGATGTGTTAAGTGCAGAAATATTGTTAGTAAAGAAGAATATACCAGTCATACATACGACAGCTCAAAATATTGAAAATCCTTTTTGATCCCATAAAACACTTTTGACTTAAAATTCTTTGCATCAATGAATAGGTTTATTTGACCTTCAGTTGGATTACGATGCCATAGTAGTAAGTCTTTATCAATCAAAATGCACCCTTAATGTAAACTTAATAGCTGATATTTATTTATCTTGAACTGGAAAAGTCAATAATGTTCACATTTGCTTTAATAGTCCTAAAGAATAAAATAAATAAGGAAAAATAAGAAAGTATAAAGTAAGTAAATAAAATAAATAAGGTAAAATAACTAATAAGTAAGTCAGACTACAATAGCACATTAAAAATGATGGCTATGCCCGGACCGACTGCTATCCAGAAAGCTTTTACTCAGAAATGATTTATTTGAAGTGTTTCGTAGTGTCACTTAAAACTAAAACTGGCATATTTTAATGCATATTCTATACAAATAACACCATCATATTATTGTAAGGTATGTTTGTTACCTACATTATTCATGCAAAAAATACATAATAAAATCCATATCATTATCAAAGATGTTCACACAAGCGATAATAACCCAGTATTATTTTTATAAGACCAAAGGACATCAATGTTATTGATTGATACGCTTACGAACGTTAACATAAGCACGCAAGTCTTACGAAATCCGTAATATAAACATTGACACAGGCACTAACCGTGTCAATGCAGTCAAATACACAGACACACAATTCGCAAGGGCGTCAAAATAGACCGAACGTATTGGCAGAATCACTGCTAATTTGTATTTGAAACAAAATGAAAATGTTTGGAGACGTGATGTATGTCATGTTCGGAGTACAGCTAACGTGATTGGTACAAAATGACCGGGGTCAATGAACCGCTTTTCTACCGTAGTGAGCGTGGTTTTATTTGAAAAAGGCCTATGTTCATCAACGTTGTAGAGCCGAGCTGCGGTTGAATTTTTATGAAGGCTGGGGTTATTTGCTTTTATAGCCAAATACGATATTAAGCTTGCTAGAATAATTTAACTTAAACCTAATTTAAAGTTGTGTAAAATTTAATGTAAAATGACTGTAATAACTGAAAATAGCTGGGTGCAAATGACAACTACGCAAAGGATTTTTGACAAACTATGCTGTGAAAAATTATGAAATAGGCAGAATAATTACACATATTATTTTAAAATCACCCAAACAAGGATAACACCAAGCAACCTATGTTATAAATTTCACACAGGTGTATCTTATTGTCTTGGAATTATACTGCGGAACTTAAATATTTTGCCAACAGTTCAGTACTTTAGCTATGTGCAATTTGTCGTCCATTTTTGAAGGCAAAACAAAGTAAGGCAAAACGCCAATCATGTTGGCGATGTTGGCGAAAATAGAATGACAGGCGTCTTAGAGAATTTAATCGTAAAGGCAATCTTGTTAAGCGAAATTAGTTTAGAAGTGGAGGCAACGAAGAAATAGAGTTGACTGATAGATTTTACCAGCTTGATTGTAAAGTAAAAATAGATCGAAGTATCTTCTGTGGCTCCAAAAGTAAAGAAAATCTAAAAAGTATCATACCCCGCACTTTTGTGTCTTACATGATGGATGGTATCATTGTTGAACAATGCTTCTGCCTGCAACTTCAAGAAATTAAAGGCATCACGCAGTCGATGCTGTCGAACGGCCAGCCCTACTCGGTGTCGAACAAAGTAAATTCTGCAAATCTTGTGCAGTGTGTAAACAGTTTGGCGCAACGCCTGGATGGTGACTATCTAAATCACAAGGCTAGCCAGTGTGGACGGAGATGTTCAAAGACTTATAGTAATTGTTCCCTCACGTTTTATAAATTAAGAGGACAAATTGCATTCGAAATTACTGTTGTTGCATGATTTTTCATCTGATATGGTATGTAGGTACTTTATGTGATGTGGCTTATCATCTACTAGTTTTCGAGGTACGTATGTTCCTTAATATTAAATTACTTGATGGCTGATATCATATGGTATGACGTTAAGCACTCAAGAAAGTAAGTTGTAAAGTCAAAGACCCTGTAGAACTATCATGCTCAACAAAACAACAGATCGTAACAGTCCACTTTTGGGTTATGGGAATCCTCTACATTACAGGGTATACTATACTTTCCACGATTAGCAAGTGGGTTGGAGATCACAGTTTGAAAGGTTCAGACATTATCAAAGAGCGGTGCAGCTTGGTTTCTGCCGAAGGTGTAAGTCCTGAGTCAGCTGTTATGACATACGCAAGAAGAATAAGGAGTGGTGGCTAATACTTTACATAGCACAGCATACACATCTACTTGTGGTCACGATCACTATCAATTCAAGTCTAGGAAAACAGACACCACAGTTACCACACTGAATTCAAAGTACAGGAAAACCCTTTTTTAAAACTCGCTAGCATAATATTTCCACTATAAAAGAAAAAAACTCCGGGCAGTTCTTCGAAATTGTGCTCAGCGCCATGTTTGTAATGATAGGGGGCGCTTTACAATTTATTGTTAACAATTCCCAACTATTAGAGCTACTGAGAATTTCATACAGGAAAATTGAATACTTTTTGTAAATGAAATCGAACTCGGAGATACATAATCATAATTGCTTCCGTTTCATGCAATAAATTATTTATCGAAGTACAAATTTACATAACTATTTGGTATGTAAAATTTTAATTTATTGGTTTATGGCAACTCTACCAGTAACCTAATATAAATTAAACATTCTATTTCAGCCCAATTTTTATTATTTTGATATTATCACATTTTATTTTACTTCCTAAACCAAACGACAATTGATTTCATATCTGTTATTATAACCAGTGTCTTTATAACTAAAACTAATTCAGGACATCAAAATTATTTCTGACATAACAATACGTCCCAAAAAGGATGGTTGTACGTGGAAATAATGATTAAACTTTTTTGCGAACGAAGTCACGTTCGAACATCAAAGTTCGCAAACAACGAACACGGACCTACCACAACAAAATACTTAAAATTATGCACAACGATATTGCAAAGAGGAAGTCTATAAACACCTAATTGATATGACGACATAATATTTGCATACGAACGTAGACTATTTAAAGATTATTAAAACTGAGAGCTTCCTTTTACTGCACTTCGTTAATGGGTCCAATGTACCCAAGATAATAATTAGGTCTGAATAATCCAATATTTAAATACGAACAGGATGCTGTTTGTACCTACCATAGTATGCGAAATGTTATTATTATTATTTTGCAACATGATAAAATGGGTAAAAATTGTAGGAATTCTAGTAAAAATCTTGAGAAATCGTTTCACCTGTCATTGGAAATAAATAATGTACAAGAGTGCTATTCTACTAAGGTCCAAAATTGATTAAGAGTTGTACCTTATCACTATAAAGGAGTAAAACCTGTCAACTTTTATTGCGAATCAAATATGTATTATTCTGCTGTTACTATATTTAAACCTCGTCATCCACTGCATCGATTCTCCGTACCATCAGATTTATATGCTAATTTCAGAATACAATAAAGAAAACACTAAGTAAAAAAGAAACAAAAGCTTCTTGAAATAAACAGCGTCATAATTCCAGAACTGGCTACTATTTTCCTCAATCCAACTTTACTATTTACTTGTCTTAAAGAACGACGTTAAATCGCAACATGTACAAGCAGCTTTATTGAAATGGCAATATTAAATTGTATAGAATCGAATTTTATTGGCAAGCTACCCACACACTTAGTTACACTGAAATTACAGCTGAGCAGTAAACTCATATCGCGGGAAATGAGCATACCCGCAGGTGGTAGCAGAAAAATGAAAGACACGATTATAACTCCCCACAATAGTGTCATTAATCCTTTATGGGTTCCTCGACCCCGGCTCTCGAGTGATAGACAATGGTGGTA